CCCGCCCCGCCCCACCCTGGGTCTCAGGTGGAAGTCCTGGCCTCCCTGGCGCTCACACTGCCTTCAGTTCCCCTCGGGCTCCCGCTCCAGCGTCTCCCCCCACAGCCCCTGGGCAGCTGCCCTTCACAGTCTGAATACAGCTTCTCAGAGACATGTCAATGGGCATTCAGGGCTCGGCCTGGCGCACAGGACCTCCCAGCAGCACACGGGACAGCTACAGGTGCCACCCCCACTTCACAGACAGGGAAAGCGAGCCCCAGAGAGGTCTCCTAGCAGGAGATTGGCGATGGTGCCTTGGAGCCAGCAGACCTGGGTGCCCACCCCGTCCATCCCCCTCCTCAAGCCCCTGTGACTTTTCTGGGCCTCAGCTTTCTTGAGGGGCACCGGGCTCTGGCCACACCCAGGCTGGCACAGAGGTCGGCATGGTGAGCACCTGGCTATTCTTATTAGAGGAATCCCAGGCCTGTGGCCTTGAGGGGACCTGCTTCGTCCTCCTGGGTCCCAGGCCAGGGCAACAGGCCTGTCCCTATCACCATCCAGCGATTTAGCAACTCCTGCCCCGCACACCCCTGTCCACACACCCAGAAGCAGCAGGTCCAGGACAGAAACGGCCGAGTGGGTGACCCGCAGCCTGCTGTGAGGGTCCGTGCCCCCGGGAGCCCTGGCCTGCCAGCCCCGGGACCTCGGGTGAGGCAAGATGGGGAAGAAGCCGAATCCGGTTTGGCTCAGTGGATGGAGCGTCGGCCTGCGGACTGAAGGGTCCCGGGTTCGATTCCGGTCAAGGGCATGTACCTGGGTTGCGGGCACATCCCCAGTGGGAGATGTGCAGTAGGCAGCTGATCGATGTATCTCTCTCATCGATGTTTCTAGCTCTCTATCTCTCTCCCTTCCTCTCTGTAAAAAAATCAATAAAATATATTAAAAAAAAAAAAGATGGGGAAGCAGAATGGGGATCGGCAGGAACAGGGAGGAGCAGGATACGGACAACACACCTCCCCACCCAGCTGGGTACCACATGCCACTGCCTACCTGGCCCGGGGTCTGCAGCTGAGGGGCCCATCTCCCCAGGGTCAGGCTGCCCTGCTCCCCGCCCAGCCACGGTGGGGGATGGGGCCCCCCGGGCAGGCTCCTTGCTGTCTGTGCCTGATCTCCATCTCCTCCAATGGGGAGAGCAACAGGGCCCCTCCCAGCTGTCCTGGTTAAGTGAGTCACTGGGGCGCAGGTGATGGCACCCGACTTTTTAATCCTCACCTGAGGATATTCTTCCCTTGATTTTTAGAGAAAGTAGGAGGGAGGGAGGCAGAGACAGAAACATCGATGTGAGAGAGACACATTGATTGGTTGCCTCCCGCACAGGCCTGGACCAGGGCCAGGGATGGAGTCTGCAACTGAGGTGTGTGCCCTTGACCGGAATCGAACCTGGACCCTCCATAGGCCGACACTCTATCCACTGAGCCAAACGGCCAGGGTGGAATCTGACTTCCTTAGGAACTTAGGCAGCTCAGATGTGCCCAGGATGGCGGTGGACTTGGGGAGCCCTGTCATTTCTGGGTCTTTTGCTAGGTCACAGGCCCAGGGTCCCCCCAGACCCTGGTGGAAGGCAGCCTTGGCTTCCATGCGTGCCTGGCTGTGCCCAGCTCATTTCCCAGCGGGCAGCTCCTGGGGGCCAACCAGCAGGGGGCAATATTGGGTGAGTTTGCCTCAGTGTTGCCAAGAGAGGCTGCTGGAAGGTTCCATCCTGATTTCCACTGCCCCCTCCACCTCCCGCACCCCCGCAGAGCTCCCGCCCTCACCTTGAAGTGCACCACTCAAGTGCCCGGGGCCGCGCCTTACATTTTTGTGGGTTCGGCCAAGGCTCTAACGAAAGTGCAAACAACCCTGGGAGGCCGGAGAGGGTGGGGTGCTGTGCCCCAGCCTCCATCAGAAGTCTGAGTGACAGCAGGACCGAGGGGGCGGGAGGAGCACCGTGGCTTCACTGGGCGCCCCCTGCTCACAGGAAAACGCGTCGTTAATCCCCAGGAGGACAGCCAGCGCTCTCTCATCCCCATCTTGTGACAAGGAAACTGAGGCAGAGAGAGGGTGAGTGTCTTGCCCAAGGTCAGGCCATTAAGAGGCAGAGCCGGGGACACCAGCCCAGATGCGGATCCAGGGGCTGCAGGCTCTTGCACCTGGGTCTCCGCAGGGCCAGGGCGGCTTCCTCCCAGAAAAAGGGTGGAGCCTGGGGCCGAGAGGGGCCCTGAGCACGTCCCCTTCTGCCACACCGCCACCCTCTCTAAGGCCATGGTGCCCGAGGGAACTGCCCTGTTTCTCCCAACCAGAGCCAGAGGCCTGTGGGTCAGCTTGGCCCCAGTCACACCCCATGGGCCGGGGAGGGCTCCAGCCAGGCTCTCAGCACAGAGGCCCATTGGGCCGCCACCCTGTTGGCTGCAGCAGGCTCTGCCCTCGGGCCATGGAGTTTCTAGAAAGCTGAACCCGTTGTAACAGCAGCCATTGCACAATAGCGGCAGCCGTGGGGGCACTGACTCGGCCCTGGGCTCGGACTGGACTTGATAAACACGGCGCCAGCTGGTGGGTGCTCTCACTGCCCCCGACGAGCAGGAGAGTGGGTGCTAGGACCCCCAACGATGAGTTAAGTCTAATGGGGGGAAGGGGTGGGAAGGAGGGGGAGATCCAGGGAGGAGGATAGGATGAAATTGGGTATTTATTACACATGTGACCCGGTGCAGCGGGAGCAGAGCCAGGGGGCCTTGTGAGGTGTGGGAGGGAGTAACCAGGGTGGGCTGCCTGAAGGAGGCATCAGGCAAGCGGAGACCTGAAAGGAGGAAGTCAGAAGGGCAGGAGGAAAGGGTCCCCCGGGTCCTTGGCACCAGGCCACGGAACGAATGCGGCAGAGCGCTCCTCTGTCAAGTAAACAGGTGGGGCCCCGGGGGAATGTCGGGCCTCTACTCCCCCTGCCAGCCCTGGCTGATGACTGCCCCTCAACCCCTTGTCCCCACTGTTCCCTGCTCCTCCTACACAGCGGCTGCCCGCACTGGGGTGGGCAGCAGAGCCTCTGGGAGGCCGTTCTCTCCCCGTCTTTTTCGGGAACAGGGAGAGGAGGCCCCTACTCTCTGTCACCCTCTGAGCCACTGTCACCCTTGGCAATGCCCCCCCCCCCGACCGCTGGGGATGGGGGTGGGGAACAGAGCATTCTGTGTCTGGAACGTCCCCACTTGGTGGCTGTGGTGGCGGTTGGTGGACTGCCCCTCTCCTTATCAAACTCCTCCTGGCCACTCCAGGGTTGGCAGGGTGAGGGCAGTCCGTCCCCAGGAGGGGCACTGGGAAGAGGCGGGGTCCTGGCTTGGGGCTCATTTCTGTTTGGTCCCTGGCTGCCTGCCCACCCTTAGGGGCTGTGGAGTAGCTGTCCCCAAGCCCACACCAGTCCTCAGGTCCAGGGCTCCCCTGTCCACTGACCAAGGGGAGCTGTCTGTGCATTTGGTGTGTGCTGTGTGTGTGTGCAGTGTGTGTGTGCTGTGTGTGTGTGTGTGTGTGTTTGTGTGTGTGTGAACATGGCCAGCCCTGGCCTTCTGGGGTTACACCTGAGTCCAGTGAGAGTGTCTGTGAGCCCACATGGGTGCAGGAGGGGGTGAAGCAGGCGCCTGAGAAGTTGGGGATCCCTGCCCATGCTCCCCGTTGCCCTCACAGGATGGACCCCTTTGAGGACACGCTGCAGCGGCTGCGGGAGGCCTTCCGCTCGGGGCGGACGCGGCCGGCGGAGTTCCGGGCTGCACAGCTCAAGGGCCTGGGCCGCTTCCTGCAGGACAACAAGCAGCTGCTGCAGGAGGCGCTGGCGCAGGACCTGCGCAAGGTGAGGGGTGGCGGGAGGCAGGCAGGGGAGGGGGAGCTGGGACAAGGGGCCTGGTGACAGCTTCATCCTCTATGAAGTGGAACTAAAAGCCCATCCAACTCCACCCTTCTGCTGTGCCATAACCTGGTCCTCTCCATTCATCCATTCATTCAGGTCTTCTTTCACTCTGCCGGTGTTATCCGGCATCTAGAAGGTTCAGGAATCTGGAGAAGGGCTGCGTGTAATTAATAAAGAGACTAGACATGAAATATAAATTTGGAAGGCTCGGCCCCTCCCAATGCCAGCAGCAGCCATGGCTGGACTCCACCTTCTCAGAGGAGACTTAGCTTCAGCAACCAAGTTCTCTGAATCTCTGAACCCCTCGGTCTTTAGTCACACAAATTGTCCTAGAGCAGTGGTTCTCAACCTGCTGGCCCTTTAAATAGTTCCTCATGTTGTCTGGCCCTTTAAATACAGTTCCTCATGTTGTGACCCAACCATAAAATTATTTTCGTTGCTACTTCATAACTGTAATGTTGCTGCTGTTATGAATCATAATGTAAATATCTGATCTGCAGGATGGTCTTAGGCGACCCCTGTGAAAGGGTCGTTGGACTGCCAAAGGGGTCGCGGCCCACAGGTTGAGAACCACTGCAAAAGCAAAGCAGATATACATATCAAAGGTTAAGGTTTCATATATAGTAGGCATCAGGTTTGGGGAAATGCCCTCAGCTGTCTGGTAGCTGGTAATAATATATGCAAATGTTTAGGTTTGGGGAAAAGCTTTCAGCCATTCCAGCAGGCAACAATATGTATTCAGCCCTGCTGAATATAGAAGCCCATCAACCTTTTGATGAACTTTTTGCATTTATTATGACAGGCTGGAATTAGCCATCACTTGA